AGGAGTTTGAGTAAAGATCAGAACTGTAATAGACTGTACCAAGGTAGGGGGGGGGGGCGAAAGGTTGGAGGGAACTGGAGAAGGGTAGGAGGGGACAGAAGAGGCAGAAACCTGGGAGGTGGCAGAAGAGGAAGAAACTTGGGAGAGGACAGGGGAGGAAGGCACAGTACGAGGAGGAGGATGAACCTCCACACTTGTAACAGAGCCAGTGAAAGGGGAAGACCCAGGTACAGAGACTGGGAAGGTAAAATGTGGAGGTGAATGAAGGAAAGGAGGGGTTAAAGGAGATTTTTTGGACTTCTGAGAAGTAGAGGGACGATTGGGAGGTGGTGTCGTACGAGGTCTTGTCGATACTGGGGCTTGTGAATGAGAACACGAAGAGGTGAGAACAGACTGGGGTGTTGAAGTAGGGACGTCTGAGCCCAGAACAGCAAAAGAATTAGATACAGGAGTGACTATGGGACTGGCTGCAGAAGATGGGACCCCAGAAGAGGGGGGACGTTTTGAAACACGAGAATAAGAAACACAGTGTAGTCTCCCTTGGAGGCAGAGATGAGACACTGCCATAGCATAAGGGAGACCTTCTGCCTCTTTGAGGCAACGAATTTCCCGCTCATTTAAGTAGACCTGGCAACGGCGAGAGTATGAAGGGTGAGCCTCATGACAATTAAGGCAAGAGGGAGGTCGACTGCAAGATGTATTAGAATGGTCATCGGCACCACAGACTGGGCATTCGGCTATAGATCTGCAATATTTCGCTGGGTGGCCAAATCGCCAGCAATTTCTACACTGTTGCGGTGTAGGGGTCTCCTTTCGAACATGTAACCGATGTCCTGCTACATAAACAGAGGATGGGAGTTCACGGCTGTCAAAAGTTAAACGAGCCACATTGCAAGGGTATCGTCTCCGCCCGCGGGCAGGAAGAACTTAAGTGTGTACCTTGAGAACTGGGAGATCTTGGAGTTCCAGCTGTTCGAGAATGTCATTGCCACATTTCTGGAAATTCTGCTGGACTATGGTATGGGGCAGAATGACAGTATCACTACAAGAATTGAGCGAATGATGTTTTTCGATAGTGATAGGAATAGTATCGGTATGTGAAAGAAGAGAAAGATCATGAGCTTGGGTAGCAGTCTGGACTGTGATGATGCATGTACCACTCTTAAGAGCATGAAAGGAAATATCTCTACCAACATGGTGTATGAGCGCTTTGCCAATACTATGGTCGGAAAGTTAGGGAGTAGAAGAAGCCAGTCTTCAAGTAAACAATTTATTCCATTGTGTGGTCCGAAACTGAGCGTGGAGAGGGAGTGCATGACGTGTCGGTCTTTTCCGAGTAGAATGGGAAGGTAACGAAGTAACATCATCAGGAGATTGTCGTTGGCGTTTAGAAGTGGGACCAGAGTTGGTCCGACGTGGGACAGCCTGGCGATTCGAAAATTGCCGCATAGAAGGAGAGGCCGGAAGCATAATCAAAGGAGAGCGTAGGTCAGACAAATCGAAGGAGTCATTCGAAACCCCAGCACTTTAAGCGGGTGATGAAACAGCACCAGCAAGAGGTACAGGGGCCTTAGGAGTGTCAGAAGAGTGGTCAAAAGATGAGGCGAAGTCAAAACGGGGTACAGTAACAAGAAGGGGCCCGGGGGTAGCTGGGTCATGGATTGGAACTCCATGGTTAGGTTACTTCTTTCTTTTGTTTTAAAAAAAAATAAAGAAAAGAAAATTAAAAATAAAAAAAAGAATAAAAAAAGGGGGGGGGGGACCGGGGAGGGATAGTTCCTAGGAGGAATGAAAGGGCCAGAAATCTCCCTCCGCGCCCAAGAGAACCTCAGCACCGCAAGTAGCGCAGGTACAGCATGGAACCCGTGCCATACCCTACTCTTCATGCCAGTAAACCAGCAATCCGGGATAGCAACCTCACATCTGCCGAGCTACCTCGGTGAACAAGAGAGAGGGCAGCCGGATATCCGCCACAAGGCATACCTCTTTCGGCCACCACCCCCGGAATCCGAAAGGTGGCTTCCAGAGATGCACCTGTCGGAAGACACCTAAAGCCACCCTCCGGGATACAGGAGAGGGATCGGGACATCCCCAGGCGATCCAGATTCCACGGCAAACTACGCCACTGCCAAGAACCTCAACGGAATGGGATGGACCCCGGTACCCTTTCCCCTACCTAGGAACTAGCGCGCCTGTGGGAAAAGTCCTAAAGGTCAAACAGAGGAAGGGCAAAAGGGAGGGGTGGGGAGGAGGAGGAGGAAAGGAAAAGGGGAGGATGGGATAGGGAAGGGGGGATTGGGGGGTAATTAGGTTCGGTCTGAGGAAGGAGACTAACAGGTCTAATTCCTCAGACCAAGAGCCTCTTCACCACAACAAGGAGCCGCCCTTGAAGAGGGAAGCATTCATAAAACAGCAAAAACTATTAAGAAGTCAGATGAAATTTCAAATGAGTATTTATACACATTCTTCATCATACACAAAGGCATGTGTAGTGTATTATGAGAAGCAGAAGCAAAGATTTACCTTTCAACTTGCATATTTACGAGACAGAACGAAAAAGAGACCATCTGCTAGAGTGTAAAGCAATGGCCAGGTTTCTGTTTCGCACTCATGCGTCAGAAGGGAAGTACCTAAGAGGACAGTTACTGCCTACCAGCCTACGACCTAGGTACTAGTGATTTCACTGACATTTTGAACTATTGCGTTGCATATGCTATTTACACTCCTATCACTGTAAATGCTTTAAACACCATAGAACATCATAGAAGGATATTTTAAGCTATAAAAGTCTATCACCTTAAAAGGCCCAGGAGCTACAGAAAAATACGTTCAAGTTGCTCAGGGTCAACATCCTCATGAGGCCAAAGAGCTGGAAATCGTTTCTAGTCTGGACGATGTCGAGGCAGAGGAAAAAAATACTAAACAGGGAATTATTCTTGCTGATATACCAGGGACATGTGAAAGCTGCTGGTATACCAGGGACATGAGAAAGCTGCTGGTATATCAGGGACATGAGAAACATGCTGTTACACCAGGGACATGAGAAAGCTGCTGGTATACCAGGGACATGAGAAAGCTGCTGGTATACCAGGGACATGAGAAAGCTGCTGGTATACCAGGGACATGAGAAAGCTGCTGGTATACCAGGGACATGAGAAAGCTGCTGGTATACCAGGAATATGAGAAAGCTGCTGGTATATCAGGGACATGAGAAAGCTGCTGGTATACCAGGGACATGAGAAAGCTGCTGGTATACAATGGACATGAGAAAGCTGCTGGTATACCAGGGACATGAGAAAGCTGCTGGTATACCAGGGACATGAGAAAGCTGCTGGTATACCAGGGACATGAGAAAACTGCTGGTATACCAGGGACATGAGAAAACTGCTGGTATACCAGGGACATGAGAAAACTGCTCTTTGTAAAAACCAGTGCAGTGATTATCCTCTGCCCTGGATTATGACTGAGTAGAAATATAATTAAGTTCATGAATTAAGCCTAAATATCATAAATTTGATGAACGTAAGACAAGTAAAATCTACTAAACGAGTAAAACAATTGCAAATAAATATGTCGTAAATTAGGAGATGGTTTGATCTTAGTTTATAATTAACACATTGCCAGCAACGTAACGCAATAGTTATTTTAATTTATCTTTAAGAAAAACGCACTAAGCTGAAATACTTCCCGATCTGTTAGATAAAAGAAAAAAATGGCCCTTATTTGGTGTAAAATCAATACTGTCTCTCCAGAAACTATGGTACACAATAGTTAGAGATGGAAGTCGATCAGAATAGTCATTCTAAAGGTACCTCATGGAAGGTAATATAAAGGTACCTCATGGAAGGTAATATAAAGGTACCTCATGGGAAGTATTATTAAGGTTTTTGTAAAAGCTGCTAATTCCCTTTAATACTCCCCAAGAAGACATGATCATTCATATGAACAAAAAAATCAAACGGGGAGTAGAATGAAAATAGCTGCGAGGGACCCACACCGTATGTCCTCGGATCAAGGTAACACACCTAGCTCTGCTGTGTGCTTCGTTCTTGCAAGATTGCTTGGTTCCGTGGGTTAGAGCATCATGTGTGATTCTTGCTCACCATGAGGTCGGCCAAAACGACATGGGTTCGAATCCTCGGCTAGTCGCAGTGTTGTTATTGATTAATATCACTTGTCATTTATATATATATATATATATATATATATTATATATATATATATATATATATAATATATATATATATATATATATGCAAAACAACCACTCAAAGAATAGAGAAATTCGAAGCGCTCTCGTGACTACTCACATTATCAAGGAACTATAGTTCCTTGATAATGTGAGTAGTTACGAAAGCGCTTGGAATTTCTCTATTCTTTCAGAGTGGTTGTTTTGCATATTCTGAAATCACCTGTTTACCTTGATCTTATTGCATATATATATATATATATATATATATATATATATATATATATATATATATATATATATATATATATATATATATATATATATATATATATATAAATTGATAGAACTGCGGCTTGGCCAGGAGTCGACCCTGCGCTCCCATGCCCAACCCTGTGCGAAATGAACAAAGTACGCATCACTCTCTCCACTGGACCACCATCCTTAAACACCGGGCGCTCGTTCCATATGACTGTTTATGCCAGGTACAGGAGACGGATGTCATTTATAGTATAATTATAAGGTATTAAAAGGACCCTAATCTAAATAAGTCATTTTGACTTTTTTGGGTTATCCAGGGTTCTCTATGCATATGCTGTTATGTATGATAATCTATGTAACCGTATTTGTGTATACCTGAAAAAACTTACTAACACCTGGAAAAAGATCTGGAGGTATCGCTTAACACTCTGAAGAACACAATATAACCACTAAGTAAGCAAGCTTCACTACATAGGTAGCATTTATTCCATTGTAACTACCATTTAGAACAGTTGTAGCTGTATACTGCGGGTTTATATACTGGACTGACCGTGGGAGGTGGAGACGAGGTCGGGGCCGACCTGAGCCTGGCTCTCTGTAGTGTCGGTGAAGCTGCAGTCGGGAAGTAAGTCGGCCTTTCCACACGACTTGTAGCCTGGGTGTCCACAACTGCTGGTGGTTTCTCGCAAGCTGCAGGGGAACACACATCTGTCCTTACTGCTCTCTCCACACCCGTATTCCTTATCTGTCTTCCATTTACTACTTTTGTCCACACCTGGATCGTCGCCAAACCTGTTATTACTTCCCGTCACCCTTCTCCTCCACACCTGTTCTTCTTTCCTCTACACCTAACCTCCTTTATGCCTGTCCTCCATATGTGTCATCTGCACCTATCCTTTGTCATTCTTTCACACCTGTCAGTCACAGATGTTCCACCCAAACATGCATAGACATGTTTGTATTGTTCCTTCCAAACCTGCCCTCGCCAGGCCAGCCATTCATGCCATTGCTTACTCCCTCCTTTCACATCTGTCACATACACATACACATACAAGTATATCCTCTCCACCTGTCCTTAGTGCTCCCTCAAAACCCATTCTATACACCTGTTCTTAATGTTCCCTCTACACTTATCCTAATTATCTGTGATCCAAGCCTGCCCTTATTCTATACACCTGTCATTGCTGCTCCCTCCACACTTGTCCTCAACACCTGTCCTCAATGCATACTCTACATCTGTCTTTTCTTCTCTATCCACACCTGTCCTTTACACACGTTTCCAAAACTTGTTATCTAAGCCTGTGCTCCACACCTCTAATATACACCTGTAATTCACATCTGCCCTCTACACCTGCATTACACACCTGTCATCCACATCTGACCTAACTCAAGCATCCACATTTCCTAATTATTTTAATTACGAAACCTGTTGCTAACCTCCAGTGTTTACGTCACCGTCTACGTCATCTACGTCACCGTCTACGTCATCTACGTCACCGTCTACGTCATCTACGTCACCGTCTACGTCATCTACGTCACCGTCTACGTCATCATCATCATCTGTGGTAACATTTTCACAATTATCTTCACTCACCAGGAAAATATGTTCACATAAATACGTTCACTTTCACTCCTTTCGTTACATTTTCATTCCTACATCTTCATATTCACTAATTTACCTTCCCTACTATATCGTCATATTCATTGTTTACACCTTCTCATCTTCACTACTGCAACTTCCCTTCTTCATTATCACTCCTTCACCTTACCTTCAACATCTTCACCTTCACTACTTCACCTTCACTACTTCACCTTCAGCTTTAATTTATGCTCATCTTCACCATTGCTACAACATCCATTTTCAGTACGTCATTTTCACCTTCAAACTATGTTTCCTTTCACAACAACACCTTCTTCACTGTCACGTGTTCACCTTCATTACTACATGCTCACCTTCACTACTACATGTTCAACTACATCGCCAGAATCTTCACTTTCACTACAACTTCATTTCTGGTACATATTCATCCTCGCTACAATAGTTTCATTTTCACTATCACATCTTTGCCGTCACTAAACATTTTCACCATTACAACACTAATTTCATCTTCACTATTGCTTTTTCACCTTCACTTCGATATTCACCTTCTCTACTACACCTTCACCTTCTCTACTACACCTTCACCTTCACTTCTACATCCTCTCCTTCTCTACTACACCTTCACTACTACATCATCACCTTCACAACTACATCACCTTCACTGCTACACCTTCACCTTTACTATATCTTCACCGTCACTACATGTCTTTACTGCAACATCTTCACTTTCACAATAACATCTTCACCTTCACTAGAAAATGCATATTTTTGCTGCTGTAGCTTCACCTTCACTTCAACTTCTCATTCACTACAATATCTTCACTTTCATTACAACGTGTACTGGTACCTTTAGGGTACCAGTACAAGCTTGTGAAGTATCAGTAATTATCTGTGGGGGGCTAGCACACACGTATAGGTAACTGCTACTTACCTGTCAGTACCAGTACAGGGGAACCAATACACGCATGTGGTGAGCTGGTACTCTCCTGTCAGTACCAGTATAGGAAGTCGAGTACATGCCCTCATTGAACCAGTACTCACCTGTTGGGTACTAGCACACACATGTCTTGAACCAGTATTCACCCGAGTGGGACCAGAACTGGCCACTGGGGGACCAATATCCACACATTGCTCACCTCCTGTTGGGGACCAGTACTTACCTATGGAAGACCAGTGCTGATCTGTAGAGGTCTAATACTCACTTTCGAGCTACCAGTACTTTCCTGTTGGGGACCCGTATTCACCTACGCGGACCAATACTCATCTATGGGTAACAGTGGGAACTAGTAATCACTTGGGGGGCCATTGCAAACCTCTGAATCATCAATAATTACCTGTGTGGTACCAGTACTAACCTTTTGGGATCGGTAGTTACCTTTGGGCTTGGCGGGAGGAACGTGGTTTGCATTTAAGCACTAGAAGGGAGCTGATGATGAGGAGAATCACAGCTAAGACGCCTCCGATCACAGCGCCCACAACAGGGCTGAGAGGTTCGCCTGACGTCGTAGCTCCCAGTGCTACGCCAGCAGCAGCAGCAGCCGTTGCAGCAGAAGCAGCAGCATTGATGGAAGAAGGTCGCAGCGCAGGGGAAAGCATCAGCCGTGTTAAATGTAGTCGTGACAGAACCAGCAGCATCAGTGGAAGCACGTACAGTAGCAGCAGCAGTAACACCAGTAACCGCACCAATAATATCAGCAGTAACACCAGCAGTAGCGCCAATAACAGCACCAATAATATCAGCAGTAACACCAGCAGTAGCGCCAGGTATAAATGGAACAGTAACACCAGCACTAGCGCCAGCAGTAGCTCCAGCAGGAACATCCGCAGTATCCCATCCAGAAACACCAGCAGTTACACCAGTAGGAACAATAGTATGAGGTCGTCAACATATCATTACCATCGTGGATGGACACATCAATATTATTACCAACAACACCACCACACTCATCACCACCAACAATACCACCAGCAACATAGCCTCAGTTATAAACAACAGCAACACCACAATCACCAACACCAGCAATAGCACCACCAGATATGTTTCCACAATCATTATCAGGAAAACATCAATAGCAACACCACCACAATCACCACCAGCAGCATTACCAGGAATACCACCACAATCGCGACCATCAAAAATACCACAACAGGTAGAACCACCAGTACACCACCAGCAACAGCATCACAATCATCACCACCAACAATACCATAAGCAAAGGGAGAAAGAGAGAAAATGCAGTAGTTAGTGTTTAGTCAAGAATTATTAAGTGACATTATTCGATTTCAGTGATAAGAGAACATGACAGTTTAACAGAACATGGCAGTGTTAGAGAATATGACAGTGTTAGAAGATGAGACAATATTAGAGGAAATGACAATAGAATATATGACAGGATAGAGTACATGACACAACGTTAGAACATGGCACAATGTAAGAGTACATATCTAAGCATTAAAGTACACGAGGTAATGATAGAGCACATAACATTAGAGTAACAGACACTATATTAGTAATATAAAGATCGTGAATAAAGCAAGGACATTCTCTACTAAGTTTGCAAATGTTCATCACAAGTTGTGGAGCTTTGACAATATAAGCAAGTGAAATAAATCATGGAACAATCAGCTATGCCTTTTCCAGTTCTCTGGAACCGCAGAAAGCATGTCTCATAAATATGATTTAGATGACAGAGGTGCTTCCTGCAGTAATGTAACATTTTGCAAGAGGTTTCGTGTGGATAGGAATGGTGTTACATGTTCATCTGATCGATCCTTCGACAAGCATCATGATTCAAGGCGAGATCCATAGGCGTGTCTTAACGTATGCTAACGTGTACTTGTATCACTGGAGATAGTACTACTGATAACGGTGTTACTGGGTACTTAATACTGTAGTTACTTAGAGTAGTATCAGTGGTAGTAGGCGTGATAGTGGTATAATAGAAAAAATGTAAGGAAAAGTTAGAGTATATGTAACTACAATACAAGTATTCTGAGGATTTGAACAAGAAAATAGAAACATCAACACGATTTCTTTTTTTTTTCTTACACATCACTGCATGAAATATTAAGCTCAGCAAGCCTCACAAACTACTTTCAGAAGCTCTTTAAACTTTGGTCATGTACTTGCTCATACAGTCTTCTTGAAGTTCAACTCACCTGTACGTCGTTCGGCTACGTCTGTAAGGGTGTAAGCGGGGAAGACCAAGGGTTGAGATCGTCCCATAGCATTGACAGCGAACACCTTCAGTGTATACCTGGTTCCTGGACGTAAACCTCCGATCTGCAGGTGCAGAGACACAGAGTGATATTTAATATTTTGGTCCAATTTGGTATCCCCAAACGGGGTTCTTAAAGTGGTTGCCTGATTTTTTCTTTTTCTCTTTTATTCCTCCAACTTTTCTTTTATATTTCGTTCATAACTCAAGAACGCTTCATACAATCAATCGGCTTCATATTTTCAGAGTTTCTGTACTGGGAAAAGGACCAAATTCCTGAAACAAATGGCATGCCAATGTGTCCGCTGAGATGCTGGAAATGTGTCCTTTGAACACATTTCCAACATCGAGGAGTGTCTCGGATTGGTTTCAAATCCTGAATGGCAAATCTTTTAATTTTCCAAATTATTATTATAATCAAAAAGAAGCGCTAAGCCACAAGGGCTATACAGCGCTGCAGGGTAGGGAAGGAAGCGAGGGTATTGGATGGCAGAAGGGAGGAGGGATGATCAGCAGGTTACAGAAAACAGCGGGGCAGGGGATAATACGGGGGTAGATAGTAGCAAGAGATTGAAGTAGAAAGGGCTGAAGGTATCAGAATTTGTGAAGTCAGTTGTTGTCAAAAAGTCAATGAGAGAGTCCGGATGAAAGGTGGGTCCATCAGCGAGAAGGGAAGGTAAAGAGAGAGCAGCGGAGTGAAGACGACGACAGAGGTAAATTCTGCGTGCTCGTTGATAAAGTGGGCAGTCCAACAGAATGTGGCTGACTGATTATGGAGCTTGGCAATTCTCACAGAGAGGAGCAAGACGCCTCTCCATGAGATATCCATGAGTAAGACGAGTATGGCCAATGCAAAGACAGGAGAGAGTAGTCTCCCAACCTCGACACTGGTGATAAGAAGACGGCCAGTAACCTATACTCGGTTTAATAGATTGAAGTTTGTTGCCGAGCATAGTAGACCAACGTTGTTGCCAACGGGTATGAAGGTGGGAAGATATTGCAGCAAAATAGTCCGTAAATGGAATACCTCTATAAGAAACTGGTAGGTCATGTACTGCTGACCGCGCAGCAGTGTCTGCCTGTTCATTGCCCTGTACGTCAACATGACCAGGGACCCAACAAAAAACAATATCTTTATGCTTGGTAAAGATGCGGCGTAGCCAAAGTTGGATACGGAGGACTAAGGGGTGAGGTGTATCAAATTTTTGTATAGCCTGTAAAGCACTAAGGGAGTCTGAGACAACCACAAATGATGACACAGGCATAGATGCAATACGGATAAGTGCTGTAAGGATGGCATATAATTCAGCAGTAAAAATACTAGCCGAAGATAGTAAATGCCCTTGTACGACGCTGTCCGGAAACACTGCTGCGAATCCTACGCCGTCAGAAGACTTAGAGCCATCTGTGTACACAGCAATGGCATGAGAATGAGAGTGAAAGTGGTCAAGAAAAAAAGAGGGGAAGCGACCGTAGACAGTTGGGCTTTCGAGCAAGGGAGGGAGAAAGAACAGACTCGAAAGCTGGAACTTCCCAGGGGGGTAGGGAAAAGTGAGATGCTACATGTACATAGAAAGGTGGTAGTTGAAGAGAAGACAAGAGCGAATGAAGGCGAAGAGAGAAGGGACGGAGTAAACAGGGGCGGCGAACAAATAAAGAATGTCTACTAATATCAGTGACCATTCTATAAATCCTCCTTTCTTATGGTCTTATAAGTGGATGACGGGCATAAACAAGGGAGACATTAATAAAGTACTGAGGGTGTCGAACCAGGTAAGAACCAGGAATAATGGATTTAAGTTGGATAAATTTAGATTTAGAAAGGACATAGGTAAGTACTGGTTTTCTAACAGAGTTGTAGATGCGTGGAACAGACTTCCCAGTGATAGAGGCTAGGACCTTGGGTAGCTTTAAGAAGAGACTGGACAAATATATGAGTGGGAGGGGCTGGGTTTGATTGGTGTCAAGGGGTACGGGAGTTATTTCTTGAGTAGTTTTAGGTAGATGTCGTTTTGATAAGGACCTGCCTCGTATGGGCCAGTAGGCCTTCTGCAGTGTTCCTACATTCTTACATTCTTATGTTCTTAAATGGAAGGATTGCTGAGATCATGACAGCGTACATAGTAGCGCAGGCAATGGGCATCACTGCGATCGGATAAGGATGGAACGTTCGCTTCTGCATAGAGGCTCTCGACAGGGGAAGAGCGAAAAGCACCAAGGCATAAACGTAATCCTTGGTGATGAATGGGGTTAAGGCTAGAGAGAGTAGCAGGAGATGCCGCTGAATAGATCTGGTCACCATAATCAAGTTTCGATAAAATAAGGGTGGAATGTAGGCGAAGGAGGGTTCGACAATCAGCTCCCCATGAAAGATGAGCAAGGGTTTTAAGAAGGTTCAGCCGGCTGTGACAAGTTGCCTTCAGAGAGGTAATGTGAGGTTTCCAGGATAACCTACGATCAAAGAGGAGGCCCAGAAACTTGACTGTATCACGTTCAGGGATACGGGAGCCATAGAGGTACGAAGGATGATCGGAGATGACAGAGCGTCTAGTGAAAGTAATTTGGTGGGTTTTAGTGCTGGAAAATTTAAACCCACGTGTGGCTGCCTAATTGGAAACACGGTCGACTGCATGTTGAAGAGAAACTGTAATGAGGTGACAGTCAGCGCCTGCACAGGCAATAGCGAAGTCATCAACATAGAGTGAATGACCAAATATTTGATGGAAGACTAGAGGCCAAATCATTAATAGCAAGGAGAAAAAGTGTTGTGCTCAGAACACATCCCTGGGGGACACCTTCAGCTTGGATAAAGTCCGGGGAGAGCACATTATTAACCCGAACACGGAAATGCCTGTCAGTTAAAAAGTTCTTAAGGAAGGATGGTAGATTGCCTCGAAGGCCTAAGGAGTGGGCTTGGGCTAAAATATTATACCTCCAAGTTGTGTCATATGCCTTCTCAAGGTCAAAAAAATATGGCAATAACTGAGTGGTTATTCGCAAAGGCATTACGAACATACGTATCCAAGCGTAGTAAGGGGTCTATGGTAGAACGTCCCTTACGAAAGCCATATTGACGAGTGGAGAGACTGTTGTGTGTCTCTAAATACCACACTAAACGTCTATTTACTAGGCGTTCCATTACTTTGCCAACTGCTCTGATAAGAGCAGTGGGACGATAGTGGGAGGTTTCATGTCCCGTAGTGCCTGGTTTGCGGAAAGGGAGAACAATGGCGGATTTCCACAGCTGTGGAAGAACTCCTTGTGACCAAATAAGATTGTAAAGGCGTAATAGGACTGCAAGGGCTGACTGATGTAAATGTTGTAGCATACGAATATGAATGTCGTCGGGCCCAGCTGCCGATGATCGACAAGCTGAGAGTGTTGCCTCCAGTTCTTGAAGTGTAAAAGGCACATTATACTGTTCTTCTCTGAGAGAAGAAAAGTCCAAGGGTGCTAACTCTCTGGCAGACTTTGAGGAAAGAAATGAGGGGCATAGATGGAGTCCCTGAGAAATACGGACCAGATGATTGCCAATTTCATTGGCAACATCCAGTGGGTTTGCTATATCAACACCGGCAACCCGCAGAACAGGAGCCGGTTCAGGAGAATATTTACCACTCAGTTTTCGTACTTTTTTCCAGACTGCACTCATAGAGGAAGCAGAGGTGATGGTGGAGACATAATCTCGCCAGCAAGTGCGTTTAGCGTCACGGATGACACGGCGAGCGATCGCACGCTTCTGTTTAAAATCAAGGGGGTCTCTCTGTGGTTCTATTGTACCGGTACCTGCACCATGCAGCGCGTTTCAAACGTACTGCACGAGCACAAGCAGGAGACCACCAAGGCACGCATTTCTGAGAATGCCTGCCCGAAGTTTGGGGTATAGAATGAGAAGCTGCGGTGAAAATGGAGGACGAGAAGAGGTGTAAAAGCTCATCGATGGAGGACGAAGAAGGAACCTCTTTAAAAACAGTTAGGTGTGAGTAAAGGTTCCAATTTGCCCGATTAAATTGCCAGCGTGGGGTGCGAAGAGGTGGCGAATATGAAGGGGAAGTAAGAATGATTGGTAAATGATCACTGTCATGTAAGTCCGGGAGAACAGACCAAGTGAAGTCTAATACGGCGGAGGAAGAGCGGACTGAGAGATCGATGCAAGAGAGAGTATGAGTCCGAGGATCCAAATGGGTGCGAGTACCTGTATTTAAAACATGGAGGGGGTGGGTGGCAAGAAGAGCCTATAACTGAATTCCACGGGAATCACAGTGAGACCCCCCCCCCCCAGAGGAAATGATGGGCATTAAAATCACCAAGTAACAGAATCGGTGGCGGTAATGACGAAACAAGGAAGGCAATATCCGGAATAGATAATGCCCGAGAAGGAGAGAGATATAAAGAACAGAGCATATACCACCTATGTAAGTGGATACGGGCTGCTGTGTAATGCAGCGAAGTATGAACAAATAGCTGATGGTACGGAATATCAGTGCGTAGAAGAAGGGCACTTTCATTAAAGGTCCCATCAGGAAAAGGATCTGAAGAATACAGTAAATTATAGCCTGAGATGGGAGAAATAACAGCAGAGTGTAATTTTGGTTCCTGTAAGCAAACACCAACAGGGGCAAACTGGGAGAGTAACATCTGAAGCTCACCCCGATTACCCCTGAGGCCGCGTATATTCCACTGTAAATAGGCCATGATTGGCAATGATAAAGATACTTGAAATCCGCAGGTAAGGGTTCCTACGGACTAGAGGGGTTAGAAAAGTCCACATGCGGAGGCAGTGGAAAACGTTCAAGCAGCGAAGGAACGGTGCGCTGTGAAGAAAGGAGTTGCCCAGATGGAGCAGAGGAGAGAGAAAGAGCGGAAGGTGGATCGGTGCCCATTGATGGTTTGGTCTCTTCAATATATTCAGAGATTGCTTCAAGTGTTTCGGAATTCAGAGACGTCGTATTGGAGACAATATTGGAAATGGTAGGGGGAGGATGAGTAAAGATTGGAACTGTATTGGACTGTACCAAGGTAGGGGGGGGCGAAAGGGTGGAGGGAACTGGAGAAGCGTGGCAGG